GATTTTCATGATCCATTTTCTCACTGAGATGAAATCACTAACATGAAATCGCTCTGAATCTCTGAGATGAAATCATTGAGATGAATCTCTCAACCGCTTTGATAAGGGTTTAGAGAGGATGGAGAGAGAGAGAGAGAGAGATATTTAGAGAGAGAAAGAGAGACGGTGAAGCTCACTTTCGTTGGTGCTCGCTACCTCGATTTGAGAATGAACAAGTGGTGGAGCTTCGAAATCGCTCTCACAGAGAGAGAGAGAGAGAGAGAGAGCTCGATTTGGGTCATACGCGAATTTCAGATTCAAAATTAGGGTTGCATAAGAAGGGGAGACCCAGCGCGTGAGGCACAACGCATTTGGAGGCGCTTTTAAACGCCTCTTATTGTAAAACGGTGTCGTTTTATTAAATAAATATGCGACGTTTTGTAAAACGTCGTTAAATATAAAAAATAGTGACGTTTAAAAATGCGTCGTTAAAAAAACGCCATCTAAACTCTAAATAAAGAAAAGGAGAGAATTTGTTTGATTACAAAAATCAAACTCGAAATAAAAATAAATAAATAAAAACATATTTTATTTTGTTACAAAAACAAAATTAAAATCTAATTTAAATAAATAATAATAACACTGAACATAAATTAAATAACTTACTTGATTTAATTTCTTCGAATTATAATCTAATCAAGTCCAGTGTTTGACACTGTGTCCTTAAGACAGATTCGTCCTCTCCACGGTGCTTTCAGAATTTGTACGTCTATCTCCCAGGATGAAATGATCTACTACAACCAATAGCAGCACTACAAATTGTTTGCCTTACAAACACACTAAGTGTTTGCACTATTTCTTTCAGAAATTAAATGTAGCAAAATGCAGAGATTTATAGCAGATGATGGAGTACGAAAATTGGAGTCAAATCCAAATAGGAGGCTAGTCTATTTATAGATGTAAAGGTGGCTGGTGGTTTTGAATTGAACAGGTATGAAACCTATTGGTTTTGAATTCAAACAGATTTGAATCTGTTAGGTTCATAATTTAAACAGATACAAAATCGGGAAGGGCCCTGTTTGAATGTATAGTAAAAACCAGACTAGTTTATTTCAAGAAGGGCCATGTTTGGATGTACAGTAAAAATCAGACTAGTTTATTTCGGGAAGGGCCCTGTTTGGATGTACAGTAAAACCAAACCAGTTTATTTAAATTCAAATGTTTTTGGCCTAAAAAGATTAGTATTGGGCCGAACAAGCCCAACCTCACACCACGCACCCACGTCCAAGCCCAGGCCCAGCCCAGCTCGCCCGACCGGATGGACGGCGGCGGCGGCGCGCGCGTGTGGAGATTTTTGGGTCCAATGGGTCTAGCCCATTTTGCCCATAATCTCTCCCTCTAAAACACTTGGGTATCTCTTGGGGCACACCCCAAGTACCAAACCCATGCCTTATAAACCCATTCAAAACTTCCCACCAAATCAATGTGGGACAAACCTTATACAATACATTTAAGGATTTTTCACCAAAACTCCATTTTCATGAAGCATACTTTGGCTTCAATTTCCCATTCACTCGGTAATGGTTTTGAGCAACCAAATATACTACGTGAATTACAACGCAGCATAAAATGCGTTACCACTTTGGCCCGTGAAAATCGATGCACGGGGCCCACCTAAAAAATAGACCAAACTTAGGAAAAAATTCTGGTTTTGTCCAGAAGTTTATAACCATTTCCAACAATCCCCCACATGAATGGAATTTGATGACAACGGAAATGCAACAATATGCAGACTTTATCAAAAGAGTATAAGTCGAAAATATCTTGCATCAGGATAGGTAGCTTTCGACTTTGAACCTTCCCTAATGATAACCTATCGGACTTACTGGCTAACCAATGGACATGATGCCTTGAATTGTTCAGCCGATTGTGTAAGCCAAGACAATAGATTTCACACAAAATATCTTCTAACACATCGTGGTTCTCACTGTTGTGTTCATTTTGGCCTTGAACGCTCCTGGTTTTCATGAGTGTTTCTAGAGAATGTAGCCTCTTTCATTCTCATAAAACCGGCCCCAGTTCAACACTCATATAGGTGATTCTTATTGTGAGTATCTCATTATACTCGTCTTGATTTTATGCCTTAATCAAGATATAAGTAATCATTAAAAGCAAAACTTATCCTTATACCCCTGCAGACAACATATGTTGCAGATATCACTCTCACCATAGGAATGGATAGGAATTTTAATCCCTTGGTGATTTCTGGCGAGCCATACATAACTTAGTTGTCCCTTTGAACTTAGTTCTTTGGGATCTCCAGTCATATAAGTAGGGTTACCATTATGACGACTCTTATGTAATAGGCTTTAATCCCATCCCCGTGGCAATCTAACAATTCATAGAGGAGATATTGTTACTTATCCTTTTTACTTGATTTTGACATCGTGATCCTATTTTTGCAGAATCGTCACACATTTGAGAAGCCAGTGAAAATCTACAACTAGGGTGAAGGTATTGGCATTGCATTTGCTGATCTTGTTAATCACCGAAGCCATTTGTTGCTGTTCAAATGAAGAGAGTGTAGTGTGGAGAAGAAAACACATTTTGTAATGTGTCAAAATCAAGTTTATAGGAATGTAATTCTTCTGAGTGGGTGGGGATGAGTTTTTGCAAATGCACCGTGTATCTTGTATTTGTTGGACAATCTTCACTGTATTTAAAAAGATTTAATTCTGTTGTGTACAAAACAACAACAAGAATAAAAGAAATAGAGAAAATGAGAGAATATGTTTGATTACAAAAATCAAACTCAAAATAAAAATAAATAAATAAAAAACA